CCCGGCGAGGACATAGTAAGAAAATCTTCAAGCTCAGGGCACACACATTAATCAGACAAATTTTTTTCATTTCCGGTAGTAGCTGCGTGGAATGCCTCTCTCCGACGGTTGTACACGCTCCTTCTATAACCCAATTGAAAGCGCTATTATACATCTATTTATGCGAATCCTCGCGCTGGCAAGCATACTGCCCCGCGCTGAGAACATAAAGAGCAGTTTACACCATTTTTTCACTTGTGCCTTTCAGATGAACGACAGCCACTGACCGACAAGGACAAAACCGACCCAGGAAACTTGGGCAGAAGCCTCGATCCTGTGTATCAATCTGTGAATCCGTGAAAATCCTAGCCATGGTACTGAAACCTACAGATAGGCAGTAAGTATTGGATATCTACTTTTGTGTTGAATTTGCTTGTCAAAGTCTCGGCGGAATATGGTCCCAAAACTCAAACCCGTGATGATCTGATTTTGAGCCTCAACGACCTTAACGTTTTACTGTATAGTTATTTACACCCGGGTTTTCAAACAGTGTTGTCACGTGTTTTTCGTCCCCGTTTCGCACTACATCAGGTTTCTGTGAAATTTCCTCCAGTTATCTGACTGTATATAAAAATAAAGTGTCGCTTAATGAAGGACCTTGATGTACCGACAGTGTCTGTCATTGGTTATATTGGGTCAGGAATTGGCCGAGTACATGTAGGAAAATCGTGTTTGATACACCGGTTCCTCTCAAAAACTCCCTATTGTGAGGATCAGCTGTCCGTCATTAGCCACTCCGAGTTCGACGGTGAAGTCGTCGGTGGAGAACACTGGTTGTACTGGGGTGAAGCAAACCTTGAGATAGGTGTTCGTCCAATCAGTTTGCGCATTGTTGAACACTGTGAATTTGTGGATGATCATCTTTTCCTTCCCATATCCGTCACAATCCCTTATTCTCACCGGTGCTTATCTAGAGAACTGCATGTAAGATGTAGAAAGTCGGCCTATGTTTGCAAAGCTCAGCTGAGCGACGAGGCTTCCTTCTCCAGTGTGTACCTTCTTCCAGGTAAAGTGCGCATCTCTGTGTTTTTGTTTGTTTACGACACAACGCTGTGTGGAACAGCAGCATCCCAGCAAGCGAGCTTTCTGAAGCACGTACTCCGTGAGTTGTGCTCAATCAACTTTCCTCTTGTGATTGCAACATCTAAATGCGATACGGAAGCATCCCCCGAGGCCTTGACCTATTTGGAAGAATCCCTCGGAAGTGCCAAGAAACGCTGGATCAAACGACGATTTGCCGTCGTTGAGACTTCGGCAAAGCTCAACATTAATGTGCAAACGCCATTTCAGTATGCAGGCTTACTTTCCTATGGACTGCTACCAGAGATTAAGCTTGGCCGAAAGTCACATGTCAGCAAGCTCGACCAGCACCTAGGAAGGCTCACTTTCAAAAGCAAAACCACATTGCAGTGAGTTAAATTGCTTAACTCGAATTTATTCTACTTAGTTTGTTTTATAATTCTACTACCCATATATTTTCCCATATCAGTGTTTAACGCTAGCGTTCTTTCGAGACGTCATTATAATTTCAACGTTTAAGGTTTTCGTGGAATGAATTACTGTTATCTACCAGACTTAAACAGGAAAAATTGGGCTTGTTACGAAATTGCACCACAGTCCTCATGCCCTAATTAAGAAATGACTATTCGCTTTCAACCTAACATTCTGCAAGATGTTGCCTTCCAAAGCACATCCAGCAAGTTAACTGGGAACCCACTAATGGCAAATGGAAACATCTCAAAAAATTTTCAGTTAGGTTTGAATTTGCGACTCTTGCTTGGTTTGTCACCACAGTTTCTCAGTGAACTTTTAATGCTGGTAGATTTGGTTCTTATCCTATATCAACAAACCTTTAGGTGGACAAGAGTGATTCCACGTAACTAATGACGATGATTAAACCACTATATTGTGTAACGGTGTAACGGTTCATAATATTCCACATCCAACACAGCTACACCGGTTAGTGTGCGTGTGACACTTACATAGCCTTTCACACCAAGTTAATCAATAGTTATTATTCTCTGGTAACCCCGACTGCGGTCTGGAACATGTGACAAATTGCTCCCAAAGAAATAAAACCTCTGCGGTTAGCCTTCTGAGCCAAACGCTTTGGCTGATGACTGCAGTAGTCCTCCCGTACAGGTCTGAACGCTCTAACAACATCCCATCCTATGTGCATCTGTGACTCATATTTACAAACAACCACAAGCCACATCGGATGTCGCGTGGCACCATCAACTTCATACTGACGCCTTTCTGCCTCCTCCTTCATCTGTTCCTTGTCTCCTCATTTCTTTGCAAGTGACATCTTCATGAGTCTTAAGTTCTTAAGCACCGAATAACAGGTTTGCCGCCCATAGTCACGAACACTTAAATCATTCTTCAAACCCAGACGCTCAGTTCGTTTGATAGTCCTTAGTGTTCACGCTCTGAAGCAAGTTGGAAACACACTGCTCTTGTCTAATACTCGCTCCTATTGATGCATGCTACTTCCCTGAGTGTAGGATTCAAGACTCACGTACAGTTGTTGAAATGATTCCCTCACTGGTTTCTTCCCGCTTCTGATCACGCACCAACTCTGATCCAGAAACCACTGCAGTCGGTCCCGTCGGACTGTATATCGTTTTAAGCCATCAAACTCAAGGGTGTCTGACTGGATAGTAGACCCTGTGGTTCGTTTGGCGACATCTGTGTTCGTGATAATCGCTGTTCATTGCATCAGCCTGCCCCCTAACAGATTGTAACTCACATCTTTAATAAGGCGGCCTGGGCTCTCATACTCTTGTGGTTGCCAAGGTCATGACTGCAATGCGGAGGCCCTCGAGGGTAATCGTCTACTGGAATCGAGACTCAGGGACAGCTGCGAATGGCTATTGCAATCATGTGCTGGTTACAGTCCTTTCAAATGGATAGCGTGCGAATTTACTGGCCGGAAGGTCCGTGGTTCGAACCCGACCTCTGCCACTCGACTTGCCCTGTCTAGGCTTGGGCGACCTGGCAGTATCCCAGTCCTCGTGCCTCCTTCGTGTGGCATGGCAGCTAGGCCCCGAAAAGGTGCTACAGTTGAGCGATTTTTATTATTATTCATTATTTTGCAGTCCGTTCCTGTGCATACTCACTTGCGAAACAACCGGAGCCACTTGGTCACATGGCGCTCACATCGTATGAGTCAACCTCCAGTATGGACAAACCACATCGTCATGAACTGTGAGTGGTGTGGATCAGTTGCCGGTTTTCCCTCGTTCGGGATTTTCATCGTGCACTTGTCCGTTACTGCTTCTCAGTGCGACTTTCGCGGATTGCCAAGATTCGAACATCTTACCTGTCTTTCGAATCGTAATGTGAAGTAAACTTATAAAAGCTGTCCAATGAATCCCTATTTGAGCAACAAATTCCCAAGGTGGCCATTACTAGAAAGCAATTTCTAAAACCTACAAAGGTACCGGGTGCTCTGCTTGTGGAATACCCGTCAGCATCCCACGAGTCTTCGGAAAACTTCCGGGCCGCTGTCCATCTTCTAGGGGTTTGGAAGGTACGCGCCTTTGATGATTCTCATCGAACACGAAACATATGTACCGTACCCTTAGGTTGTTAGTCACTGCACAATTAAGTCACGATAATTCAGTTTAAACGATGTTAGTCCGCAGCGTGCCTTATGATTCGAACAGCGACATCTCCACTTCTACCTTGGAAACCAAGTTACTTAAAATAAGTTTGGATATTGGCCTCGCCCTCAGTTGTGCCCTGACGAACGATGCGCATTAAACTCACGAATGTTGATTTGTGACCCTCTCTACGTTGATTCATCATCAGGTTCTTTGCTTATAAAGTCTTATCGGTAAGTTCTGATATTTCATAGTGGTGGCAATGTAGTTGGTGTTTTTCATAGAAAGTTGCTGACTTCTCAGTAATCTCGTTATGCACACTTGGAGTTTGTTCTCCCGAAGGAGGGATTCGCTTCCGAAGAAAGCCTCCTGAGAGAACTACTGTACACACAACACCGTAGATCACTTACCTGTCTGTTACAACAGACTTTTTAACCCAATTCTACGCGAAACCATCTTTTGACTGTCAGAAGCGGTCAGACCGAGTGACCTTATGAAAAATTGTCGCCTCATACTTTGCAGAACGACTGACGACGCAGCATTCAATTTCGTAAGTTCAGATGCTAGTTTTTAGCCCTAAAGCAGGATTAGGGTGCGTTCAACAGTTTAAACTCGTCGTCGCCAACCAGACAACTCACCCCATCATATCACCAATACGAGCGATAGTAAAAACTGCCGGCGCCTAACTGCTACAAAACCACTAGAGCGTGGAACGGAAGGGGAATTTGTCTATGGAAAACTATCAAGAGCAAGGTACCTACCCCTTGAAATATCATCCAGATAGACTCCGAACATCATACCGAAATAACAGGCTACCAGTTGGGTTGATCCAACATCCTTTGTGGACCTCGCTCGACATGGGACCACCACAATTACAAGCAAACTATGAGCTAAGAAATGACAACATGCTCGCCACTGAGGCCGGTTACGCACCATGTCCTGTGAGGAAGGTCCAACGAGCAAGGCTCGAAGGTACTACAGTACTCAGCTTGACGGTCGTCACCTTGATTTCGCGTTCCCAAATCATGGCCTGTCCTTTGCGGACGTTTTACCAACGAGTTTTGGAGTTGAAAACAGTAATTTCTCTGGTCGATGGCGATTAGGACAGGTCCAAACCATCGTGACCGAATGCGTTTCGTTTGTGGCTGTAATGATTCAGGTTAGTCACCAAATGCCTCCTTACGCACCGTTTCGCTGTGACCGTGCTGCAGTCAGCTAACGCCTGGTGTACTGCAAAGACACCGATAACCAAACGCTTGAATCCGTCTGGTGTCCTCTCACCAAAGGGGACAAATTTTACAACCATACAGTAGGACTGCTTCTGCAATTACCTTGTATACACGACATTCCGACCTCAGTGAAATTTGTTTCTGACGCCATAATTGATGAATTCTGGCAAATGCAGTCCGTGTTTTGATAATGCATTGGCTTCCGTGGTTATGGTTCAGCCATAACGTATGCAGTTATCCAGATAAATAAACCTGTTTACAGTATCTAGCTTCTGTAACTGAAGTTTCGGAGGAACATAAGGGAGCTCAAAATCCTGCAATTTTAAAGTGAAAAACGTATACCAAAACTAGGAACCACTTCCGAAATTGTCTAGACTAGATTGGTTATCGACAAATTACAACACAATAACTTACGCGTAGTCCAAGTCCAGCAGTCTTCCCTTAGATGTCATTTCGATACCGAGAGCTTGTATCTCTTGAAGTGTGCATTCACTAATAATATCGATGGTAAAATCGAGCACGAATGGAGAGGGAAAGGAAGGTAAACGTTGCCGACTGTCATTAGTTGTAGGGAAATTCTTGGACAATTCGCTGTATATTCCTACATGACCAGAAGCATTCTTCTTTGGCCAAGTACATGTAGAAGAACTAACTTATCTGCAGGATTGAAGACTCATCTGAAGTCGAAGGAAAACCGCAATTGGTGACTGGCGGTATGTGTTGCGCTGCTCAAGCACTTGACATTATATGAAGATGTGGACGAAACCCTTCTTGCTGTTCCAGCATATGTCTCACGCATCGGGGCTGGGCGCGTTTGATATCCACAAACGACGTGTCAGACTGACCCCCATTATTGGACCGGTCGCTTCATATGCCATTGTTTAATAGAGGCGAGGACTCATCCGTCCCAATAGTCTGACAGGGGTTGTCAAATGGGTCCAAATAACGTAGAACATGAATATGCAACACCTTTCCAACTGTCAGATGAAAAGCTCGCTTGCCGAGCTTACCTGGAAAACTCAATGAGTCCACATCACACTGGAGCATCGTCAGAACCAGCGTATATTCCAGACTGATCAGCAGTCGAATATTGAGCCTCGACACTGATAGATAACGGCTGCATGCTCGATTTGGCTCCACGGTTATTCATCAGTAGGGTTCGCGAGGTTGCATAACGACATCTACTGCGCCCAAACGCAGTACTGCCGGGGAACAGCTGGTGGTCAGCACAGAGTTCTAGAAGACGTTGATCATCCCACTTACCCATTAGGTCTAACCTAAACTTACCATCAAGTCACGCCTCGTATGAACTGATGCACCCTACGTGCGTCCATATCTGAGCTCTTCGTGGCGAATAAGAGTATACTCAATTCCCGATAGAAGCCCCACAGAGAGAATGCTAAAGTTGGTTGATGCATAAGCAGGAAGAATAAACATGTGGCGGTTAGTGTTTCTGCCGGTGCGAACAAATACGCAGGTGACTGTTTTCAGGTAACTAATCAAGTGAAAACTCACTTCAAGAGCTCAGATCTGTACCAAGAAAGATGCAACCAGCTGCTTTAGGCATACTATCATCTTGAGTTCGCGACCGATAGCGTAATTAATGTACTTGGATCTTTTATTCGGGTTTCGAAAAAGCAGCAAACTTCTATCAATAAATTATCAAGAGTGCGTGGAAGAGCTTTCTGAAAGGTATGGACAATATAGCCTGAAAAATACCTGATTAATGAAGCTGGGAGAGCAGATGTGAGCAGTTGTATGTGGTTGGTCAGTCCCATCGGCATCTGACTGACGTACCTACAGCTGAACTTTACGGAAGCATGATCAAATACGGGGTAGTTAAGATAGATTAATAAAAAAGATTGGGACGTCATCAGTCGCATGTTTTCGTGTATCCACCGTGCTGTGTGTAGCGATTAAGGCAACCCGACTGATATCACTACTTGGCGATCGATGTGGCCTGAAGTTACGTTTGCTTTTTGTAGCCGGTTGTTGTTGTGGGTACTGTAGGTGTGCCCATAACTTGGCAAGATAACATAGTCTCTGGCTCAATGATCTGACTACAAGGCAGCGGTGGTTGGCGTTAGACTAAAACGGCAGTCTAACTTTCAAGTAAAAGGTTGCCACACTCGTTATAAAGCCCACCCAAGGGGACGACTTGCTTAAAACGTTCTCACCACCCATCCCGGCCTACATAGGTATTCTTCTCTGAGTTTCGATTTTGTTTGATAAAGACCACCCATTGGTAGTCACACTGGTAAATTCCCAGTATCGCCAAACTAAGTGCCTAAAAAACTGGTTGAACCCCGAAGGGCTAAGATTAATTGTCCAGGGGGCGAGATAGTTCAAGTGGTTAGAGCGCGAATTTACTGACCCGGAGGTCCGTGGTTCGAACCCCACCTCTGCCTCTCAAATTCCCCTGTCTAGGCTTGGGCAACCTGACAGTATCCCACCCCTCGTGCTTCCTTCGGGTGGCATGGCAGCTAGGCACCGAAAGGGCGCTACAGCTGAACGATTATTATTATTAAGATTAATTGATACGTTTTAAATAATAGAATGGACTTCGTGTTGTTTATGTTGATTGTATTGTACAGTTACCTCCGAACGTGAAGACAGTTTCGAATTCGGTAGATGCTGGCTTACAGTAAAGCTCTCCCGTTGAGTTTACGACCAACGGACCTCCTTGGTAGACTTCGGGAACATCGGAATCTGAAACCACTGACAAAGTGAGAAAACCTTCCTTAGTTGGCATAACGGATGGCTTCCTCCCTAACGTATATAAACTTAATGCATAGCGCGTGATGACCGACTGTCTTCGTGGATCTTCCACCGTGGGCCATGTAAGGTTTCTTGGTAATTTGTTACGGGTACTGTCTCCAGACTCACTCGGAAACCTGGTCAGTGAGCAGCCAAAATAATAATGTACACTGCTAGTACTAAAAAACTCGCACATTTTTTACACTTCACAGATAGACGTTTTAGAGGCTTCTAATTGTCTCATAATGAGTGTCTTACATCCGACAGCTAATGAGAAAGGAGTACATTATTCCGCCAACACTCATGGGAAAAAGAAACCTGATGGAAAATGGACATATGTATGAACCATTTGCATTGACTTTTCCCTCAATCCCCAGCCATCCACACTAACCTACGTAAACTTTGACTCACGTTCAGTTGAGATAGATTACCATGACTTGTCCTCCACCTGCTCTCAACTCCACCAACCAGGCAAGTTACTCATTTGACATAAAGAGTCCTTCGTGCCGATAAAAAACCCGTCCAGGCACTGGGAAGTAAGATCCGCCAAGCCAACACTTTTAACGTATAAGGTAAAAAGGTATATGCTCAAGTGGTAGGGTTTGAAAAATGACTGAAGATTATAATCTTCACTCACTAAATGTGATACTAAGTCGAAGTGTTCCCATGCATCGCTCATTCGCTGAGATGCAGGAAAAATCTTCAGGGTTTACCGTGTAAGTTACTGGATTTTACAGACGTAGGCAAAAATAATCTATTGTAAGAAGTCTTTCTATGTAAAAGAATCCAAGATTACTTCATCGCAAAGTGATGCTGAGGAAAAGTTGAAGCAGACAGACACAAGGCGGGTTAAGAACCAATAATATCCTAGATACGGACTGAATACTCGCGTGAACCTGAACAGAGGGCTCTGACGAATAGACATCTGTGGGCGCTGATTAACACACTTTGTTCGTAATTGCCGTGATCTTCAACACCACAATATTTGGTTTGATTCCATGGCCTTTTACTGTTATGCACTATTCATTTATCGTTCTCGCCCTCATATGAGCGTCTACTTTTGACGCTTCACCCCATTTTTTCTTGTTTTCGTAGCTAGTGATTCTGCAGGATTTCTCGGAGTTTTCCGCAAACCACTCATCGATCAACAAACTAACATGTCGTGTACCATTTAGGACCTCTGTTCTTCCCACCAAATTGCCCGACTTACTACCCCAACGATTAAGCTGAAATGTTGAGTTTAAAGTTGTAGCTAAAAACTTTCCAACCAAACGCCTTTGTTAGACAAGTGGTACTTATGAAAATATTTTCTACTCATTGATGGTAAGGTAGCTTCCAGCTACTTGGTGGATGCTTTTGTGGATCAAAGGTTTAACTCATTTCAGCAGTGAATCACTGCAAACTTTTTCAATATCTCAGATCCGAGAAGTAAGCTTTGTTGATAGATGAACATTTTGTGAACCGCGCGCACGAGCAAGGCATATTGATTTTGTCTCAGCTACCAGTACACTGAACGGATCTGAGACTGATCAACTGTATGGGATTGATCATTTTTCGTGCTCCTTGACGTGATCTTCATCACGACTCACGAAATCAACGCTAGCCCTTTTCCATCTACTACCTTGTGTTAGTATATAACAGTGATTTTTATCAACGGTATCCACCGATATCCGTCAGTTCACTGGCATTAGTGCACTTCATCGCTGATTGCTGATCTCTCCAGATTATCGACTACCATATAGCCAAACACCATGGCATTCAACGCCTCTGAACATCAGTATCTCCCTCCACATTTTATTACTTTGTCCGTCTTTCATTCCTCGTTGACCCAAACTGTTTCGGACCTCACTTCACTATTCTAGCTCTGAAATTTTTAAGCAAACAGGCATAAAACTGTTTCTTTATAACCTCCCACTCGAGTTCGTAGGTCCTAATGTAAACCATGTTGATTACATCACACATTTTCATGCAGTCCCTGACCATGGGGCTATCCTTGACTGTAAACCATCTATCTATATGACGAGATGGTTCAGTGGTTAGAGCTCGAATTTACTGCCCAGAGGGTCCGTGGTTCGAACCCGACCTCTGCCTCTCGACTTTCCCTGTCTAGATTTGGGCAACTTGGCAGTATCATATCCCTCGTGCTTTCTTCGGGTGGTATGGCAGTTAGGCACCGAAAGAGTACTAAAAGCTGAATGATGAAAACTATCTATCGCTTAATGGAAAGGCAATCGCATATCTGGGGAATTTTCCTTCAGTAGGCCACTTTGAGATGGATGAGGGTCAATTCCAAAGAAGCGTTCAGGGGTTTGGATGATATTTTTTTGAGTGAGCGCTTCACATGACTGGTGAACTTATATTGCTGATTGTTTGGGGTGTCATGCCTTTCTTGACCGTAGGCAGGAACCCAGTAAAACATCTGTGGCGGTCCGTTCATGCTATCGCATTGTTATCCATTAGATGAATGCTGTAGCGCACAGTTGGGTATCATCCGCGGTTCCCAATACCCTTGGTAACCTGATTCCTATCCAAAACTGCCAATATCCTTGGCGACTTCTCATCGTCTGTTGCTTTCTAACGGTTCAGTAATATAATCATTTTCATCTTGCTTCTAGATTGCACCATGTTGACTCAACCAACCGTAATCTTTTGCAACATTACTCTAGGGTCATTTCGACCTACTGAACATTCAACTCAATCCCGAAGTAACCTTGAAGAGTTGTGTCCGTGGAGGTAACAGAGTAGACGATTATGGGATTCTTCCATAATCACCGGTAGAGAAAACCCACGGTATGTGCCATGAACGACCGATGCATTCTTTCGTCTGACTAACTCACTTTCAAGGTGACGTCATAACTGACGAGACGAATTCCACCGCAGTGAATGAAAATCTAGCTCACAAACTCGCTTATGCTGGTCTCCCTCGGTCGTCTAGCGGAACGGTAGCTGACCAGTCCGTTCTTAATATTCAAACACAGCGTTTTCAAAAGAGTTTCTTTTTGACCTTACTATTATTCCACAGACCTTAAAACACTTGATCACGGGTATTTTCGGTAGAATAACTCTGAAGCCTAAAAGGTGATATGCAAATCTAGAGAGCGTGACAAGGAAACCAAGTTACTCGGCTGTCTCTTACAGGCTTGATGGTGGTGAGAATCACCAGACGTACATTTGTACCACAGGCGTTCCACTCTACTTAGCTGTTGCGTGTTGCATAAAACAATTATAGTATATATGTATATACTCAATTGGTCCGTTTTGTTTGCGAATTCTGTGGGAAGACTGATGATGCTGGCAGTTCATTTTTGGTTTCCCCCTGTTTGGAACTAAAGTAGGTGTGTCATCCGCTTTACCGATGTATTAGTTACACCATGCCCCCTCTCATAACCCCTCACTTTCTACTTGTGGCACGCAGGGCTTCCTTCAAGTACAACGGATTTCACAATGGGTCGACCAGACCAGGCCTCAGTCCATCGTACTTTATTGATCCCGCGGACTCGTATTCAGTAGCCTATGCAGAGCAACAGCGGAAACAACAGCATCAAAATGGAAACAATCTAACGGCAAATGTTCGATTTCAGGTTAGTTTCCTACTAGTCGCAGTCAAGTGGGAAACGTTGTAAAAACTCGATTTTGGTACATTCTTAGCCCGGAACAGCTTATTTTCTTTGCAAATCTTATCATTATCTATCGACCAAAGCTCAAACCTTGGTGGAGGACAGTGAACCATGATCTTGGAAGACAGCTCGGTTGGTTGTGAGTTATAAGTTGTGTTGAAATGATTAGTCCACTTTCTTTTCTTTCCCAGTTAACTAGCGAAACGTGCAGACAGCACAGTATTTCCGTCTATAAGAAACAGCCTCGATGGGCACTGTTTTATCACGTAACTGTGTTGCTTATTGGAAAGATGTCCATATAACGCCATCAGGACGATGCGCCAATCCTCCGATACTAAAAAAGCCAACGCTTTCTGGTTTGTAACAAAGATTTTGTAAAAAGAAAATATTGAGTTGTGCGCGCGTGAATTCGCAAAGTTATCAATTATCCCAGCGAACGAAGATGCCTCTACGGAAAAGTTTTCGATATTTTCCGATCATTGTTGTGCTTCCAAAACAGTCTAAGGTTTCTTTCCTTTTTTTCTCTCAATCCAATCCATCCGCAAGGTTTCTGCATCACTGTTATCGCCGAGCAATTTTCTGTGATAAAGTATTCTACCACAACCGTGGAAGACATACTCCCACGCTGCTTCCGAAACCACCGGAGACGTTCGCCCTCTCCTAATGTCTAAAACGAGACACAGCTGTGGACTCTGACATCTCCTAGGTTGCCGGAAGCCAGCTTTTCCATCTAGACGTGAAATCCACTGTAGTAGAAAAAGGCGAGCAACGTGCCTATCACTTTTACATTGTTATGTTCGCCCATGAAGCGCAGCAGGTATCAAGACAAGTTTCTCTGGTTTAGTGGTTTGAGGAGACTGCTAGGATTCGGCGATGATTTTAGTTACATACGTGCGTTGTTTGTAGCTGCTAAACGGAGCTGAACTTAGGTGAGAGAATCACCAGCATTGTGTGTGTTGTAGCCATATCGGATTGCATACTTCAGTTGTTCAGCAGTGAAGGAACCCTTTTTGTTTTTGGTCCTTTCCTCGGTTGTTCGACAACGATGTCTCTTTGTTAGCTTCCTATGTCGTGACTGAAACTCTGGTTTCCGAGACAACCCGCCTTGCCTTGTGATCAGTGGAGCTAGCTTTTTTCTTCAGCACTATTGCAGCATACGTTTTTTTCACTAGTTCACTAACTCGCTTTCCTAATTCGATGATACATGGCCTTTACCTGGTTTCAAACGATAAAAGGGGGGTCGTTTGCGTTGAAAAGGTAGATCTCGCACGAGGTTCTACCAGACATCGACACTTTTCTCAGTACCTTCGGCTGCTGTTTCACTCAAGTTGCTCAGTCGCTGAACTTCGCACAAGGAAGCATTGTTGGCTTCCGAAACAACCTACCAGCCCGACCATTTTCTTTTCATATATTGTCCTTATTTCATCGTTGTTTACTTGGAAGTATCTCGTTTCGAAGAGTCGTGCCATAATTATGGTGAAACACCACGTTTATTGATAGTACCTCGTTCGAACCCGAGCACTAGATTAGGTATTCGAGATAAGCCCAACTTCCTATCTCCTTTGGATATCCGTCCGTCTGTTCGTCCACGATGTATTAGGTTGGAAATGTTTAATCCTATGAATTCGAGATTCATCAACTTGTCGATTTGATGAACCAATGGGGAATTCATCTCAGGTATCCAAGTGCTAAAGACTCCTAGTTGAATGTTAGGTTTTGGATACAATTCTTTTGGGGATTTGAACCGAGATGAAGAAGTTGCACGGCATTTGTCAGCTTCCGGTTATGGACCAGCTTCACTTGCAGGACGAAATGCATCTAGAAAACATTGGGACAAATTGTATCACCTGGAAGGTCATAAGTACACGCACTTGATGCCTCCATTGAAACCATTTCGTTTCTGGAGCCATTTTATTCATTCCCAATCTAAAGTGCAAGAACATCGTGGTCATAAGAGTTCAAATGCCTTGCAAGATTGCCTTCGAATCATGACCGTCTTCTCGGTATCTGAGCAAGCGGTTCGACTGTTTATCCCTAGGTAGCTCCTTTAGTTCTGAGTCGGTATGTATATCGGTTTAAGCTCCGACTTGTTGAGTTCTGGTTGTTCCCCCCAACTGAACGGGTGATTCAAAGAGAAGTTTTAATTCTGAATCATAATCCAGTCACTTGGAAGAGATTGCAGTTAGCGAAGTCGTAATGATAGAATCTGAAGAGCTGCAGTGTTCACCAAAGGTACATATAGGGCACTCAGCCATTGATATGCGCATATGGAGGCATGTAGCACACGCGAATGAGATATGGATCAAATACCTGGCCGTTTGCTCTATCTCTTTACCGAAGGTCTGATCGGACCATCTCACACTAGTCAACCCGGTTTTGTCAACAGGTGTGTGTTCTAATGACCCACGGGTGAATCACATCGCAGGAGAATTCTAGTCCTTTCGACCACGTATTCGAGGGTCTAGTCGCTGCCTACGTGAACTCATACCTCGTGACGGCATTAGGCTGTGTGCAGTTCGAACTGCTACTCCCAAGAAAAATGGTGCATACTTGTTGTCTGGACCAGGCCTGTCTATCCAACCTTGTAAGTCGGCTGGGTGTGGCTCGGTTGTCGCTAAATGATGTCCACCATATCGATGTGGCGCTGTGTTCGTTGCAGCCTACTCACTCACATGCGTGAACCAATCGACCGTCAGTGCAACAGAACCACAGAGTGCGTCGCAACGACAGCCGATGAAAAAATTTCTGCAAGCCGACGTGGGTGTCACGTACCACATAGTGATATTGATACATAAAGTTTACCGCTTTCTTGTAAAGACACCCAGCAAATGGCCCTACACACTCACAGTGGTATAGCAAACCAGCTATCATCAGCGAGTGACATTTTGGTCATCCTAGTCAGTGTCTTGTGCACTTGTGCACCACACAATCCGAGTGGCCAACGCTAGCGCCATTTGTTACTTCTTCTGTTTCATGTCACCTGAGATCCTTAAACGTGCTACTTCACCTCACAGTAGATACTCTATTAGGTCGCATTTTTCGGACCTTTAGCGAGCAAGCTTCAAGTAGAACATAAGGTTGACGGAAACTCAGGAACTGCGCCTACCTGATGAGCCCCAAGAAGGGCGAAACCGGTCGTGGGCTGTCGATGGATTTTCAGCAACCTTATGAGTAGCGTATTACGAATATATACGTGTCGCGATATCTCGAATATCGTAGCGACTGAAACATGAGCGGCCTGATGCAGCACATTCAGTTGCCTGGTAGCACCACAAACGAGAGATTCAGCTGGGTCCCAGGTGAGTCTCTCGCAAAACTAAATTAGTTTGCAAATGAGTGTATTTCGCTAACCCGTTGGCATACAGAATAGGTGTTCTCTAGTTGACAGTTAGACTGTGCGGCACGTGTTACCGGTAGAGTGACAATTATCAATTTAATAATTGAGTTTTGTCCGACCCACTAGAAATTCTTTGTGAAGTTCCCACTGATCCTCAAAGCTCATCCACTGCGACCTTCAATGTGTACAAAGAAGCACTTGATTTCACTCCGTTAAGTTCTCAACCCTGGAATTCGTGGGCACTGCGATCTTTCGTTACACCCCTCCGTCTGCAGAAGCTAATAAACCCTTGGCTCTGGACCTCATTTTGTGTTTTATTGAAGCAAGTGACAAACCCACTCTCACCACGTTGCACTGGCGTGACAGCTATGCCATGATGAATTAGACCCAGCTACTGCCGGGCCGTTCACCGGTATGCATTCAAAAATGTGTCGAGGTTTGTGACCCTCTCTCCAAGTGGCTACTCCACTGGATGCCATCATATCATGTGAAACGGTGTCTCTGACATGCTCTAAAGCTTTCATGCAGTGTAGCGTCCTGACCGCCATTTGCAATTTGTTCGAATATGTCCCTCATGGGAACGGCAGTGGTGTTCGCTGGTTTTGGGCGATATTTACAAACCCACATGCTCTCAAACTGTGAACCTCCTTTTCCCCGGCACTGCCATGCCCAGTTGGTATTTCATGAAGGACCCAGTTGCCAGCGCGGAATCCCCGACATACTGACAACACAACACCCTGACCCTCCTCAATTCGTGCGCAACGGCCACTGGAAATGTTTAGATCAGTATAAATGCGGAACTATTATCCGTTTATTCTGGGATTTCTTGGTTTGTGGACTGTACATGAGTTGTCGGAACTCGCATAACAGGTTGCAAGGGTCTGTTTGTCACGCCATTTACAAGGAGCAGAGTAGTTTACCTTATGGGCTTTTCACTAGCTCATCCCTTGAATCTCCTTCCATTCTTCTTAGTTGATCATTTTTGGATCAATACCAATTGACCACCGTGTGAAACTTCACTAAGCCATGTTCTTGCACATGTTTACGCACGTTCGTCGACGGTGACTGATAGCCAATGTCATGTCAACGCAAAGAACCTGCTGTTCCAAACTGGTTGATAAGCAAATGATTAAGTGTACGCAAGAACATGTCATGCAGTCTCTACGATATGTACAGTCGTCGCCAACTTAAATCTTGGATTCTAAAGTACAATGCTTGATGATTCCCCACTATTTGTCTCCATTTTGATGAGTAACTTATCCAAAGTCCTTTTCCGTTTTTACTCAGCCCCCGAGGCGCTCTGTGATTCCATTCTCTCCTAACCACATCCACTTGGTAAATTCGGATTGTCCACAGGACCTCAGTAGACCCCTCACATATTCTTACGGACGTGGAGAAGCTCTCACTAGAAAATATTGCCAGCGATCTCCTTTCGATGAATCCATTTCCACACTACCTACTCCTCCTCCTGTATTGCTTTCCAGTCCAATAAGCACCGGTCCATTTGATCTCACCAGTTGTCCTTCATTTTTCACTTCCTCGGACGGTCAACAACCAGCGCTACCATATCATCCCGCTCCGACACAGCCTGTAGCAGTCCATCCTCTTGTGAGAATTTACGTCCACGGAGAACCTGTCACCGTACACCATGTGATCCAATCCTTGCGCGCAGCTTGCCCGTTTGATCAATGCCATACTAAGGTGAGTATTGTTCGTTTGTTATCCATGTCTGGAACGTGTCCCTCAATCGTTCGCTCACCCGTAGTCCGGTTCATCTGTTTTCTCCTATTAGTTTATTAACCCTGAGCTCTCCGTCAACATAATATATTTGTATAAACCTAGCCAGCAGGTCAAAAAGTGCTTGCTGTGTAGCCTTTTCGAGAATAGTAGAGGTCGATGCTCTCGTTCGAACTCAGATTCTTATTTTCTGCTGTTCATTGTTGTGTGGATTCTCTCATTTTTCCCGCGCTTGCATAGTACCGATCGTCATTATCAGAGTAGTATCAGTATTGCCAATGATGTTTCACTGCCTTAAATGGAAATGATGAGGAGACAAACCGTGAGTGGTAACGGAGACATTAACCTCCAAAGCGATCGTGCCAGTAACATCCAAACACTTCGTAATCTCTTTTAAACCCGACTGCTGAGTCACACATTGTTCACCCTGCAGCTTGCGCCATTCTGATTTAGACACGGAGACCAGTACTCGTCTTGGTAGCCGATGTTTCAGCATTCCTAGCCCCGCAGTGGATTTTGGTGGATGTTCTCCGCAACTGAAATAAAAAGTAGTAGAAGTAATAGTGACACCCATTTGGAAATCACTGGCACATCAATTAGGTCGGAAAAGAGGTTCTACCAACTCTTGATTGGATTCCTCGTTTATGTCGTGGGTCATTAATGAATTTCCCTCAGTACGTGCTACACAACCAAGAACCCGCTTTTCAAACATGTTCCCGTCGAAGATCCAGCGCTCAGAGGAGGTTGGCTGGGTAGAAGTCCTGGCACCACGTACTGCTTGGGATATCTTACTCCAGTGGCGTGTAATATCTGATATCGGACCAACGGGCAGGCATTGAATGTGAGGTTTCTTAAACGCCTAATTTCGGGGTCCTTGAGCTCCTGAATCACTGAACGAGATAGACATGAAACGTGCAGTGAGAAGTAACCACTGACGAGTGCATGCTCGGAGTCCACACGGATATTCCAGGAAGAGCGGCAGGCAGTGATATCCCCTCGCCACCGGTAACTTATGGCAATGTGATTGATTTTGGTTCGCGGCTAGTTCATTGGTGATCCCCACAAAGTCAGACGATTTCAGCTGTCACGTAACCTGGTACTGTGGAGAAAGACGCTGCCGTCAACAGCATCTTCAACAAGCTCTCCCCATCTTCCATGTATCACCTGTTCAATTCAAGATGACCACCTAAATGCCCTAGAAGTTCCGGGTCTGTCTGCCTGGGCGTTCGTGTAACCAACAACCACATCGGTGTCTGAACCTTCAGCCCGTTGTAAAAGAACACCTGGTGCGTTATGAGAACTGTCTTTGGCCAATTCAGAGCTGCAGTCTGTCAGAGTGTAAGCAAATACAACAAACGGAGAACGGTGTACCTTTATTTCTCGAGGTCCATTCACCGATTTCGCCAAAATTGTCGCGCAGAGGTGGTCAGTCAGGTAAAGATGTGGAACTCACCTCAGTGTGTCTAGCCTCAGCGGTCTCCGCATCACAAGATGTGCGCAGCTGGATGCAGAATAAAAACGATCGGGCAGTCAATTCAGTTGCTGTGCTTGTGTCCTGGATTCCTGTTTCTGACAGCCAGCGTACATCAATACAGAGGCAATCCAGTGTACGAGCAAAAGCCGCTCTTGTCTTGCTTGCTTGAGTGTGTAAACATTGAAGATAGGCAAGTCGTCTGGCTTTCAAGGTTTGAAAACTGACTTCAGTATGTTTACGGTTGTTACTGAAGACGGACACGCATAACCTACAACTGAGCGTGGTGCATAGCGAACAAATCTGTCAGTCCTAGTGCTCGAACTTGCAGAGACACTACCTAGAATAGGATTGTGTGGGAGAAAGAAGGAAATGGTAGCATTTTCATGGTTGAATACGAGGTGTAGGTACTGCCACAGCGCTCTCGCCTGAACAGGATGGTGATTAGGGCCATCAACCAAAACCTTTGTTTCAAAAGCCTGATCTCAGGACAACAGGTGGGCACCATTACAGTAGTACAAGTTTTTTTAAGGAACCAGTCGCCGTACATTTTCCAACCTCCAACGTGGAGGCTCAGGAAGGCGTACTTGTCAGATCTCTGTCCATTAACCAACCTGGTATAAGAAATTCTGCGGGCGTCTAATTTCAACCCTGCAGTATAACTCAATGGGTCATGGAAGTACACAAACTGCCACACTAGGATGAACTTCAGTTTCTTTCCAACGGGATTTTGCACCAAGGTCCATACTGTCCTTTGTCCGTTGGACTCAGTATTGCGAAGACCAGTTCCACTTACGGCTGAGCAACGTGGCCCCTACGCTCACAGGATTTCTGGAGACTGGCAGTTCTTTATCAATAATGCTTTCGATGATTACTGAAAGCATGCCGCGTGGAAAAATTGTCCGGGAACATGATCATGATCTACCGCACCCCTATTTCAGCTCCTCCAATGATCACGCCAACAGTGGTTTGGACGCCTATGGCACAATAAAGTTACCACACCAATCGTGACCTCACATCATCCTAATGAAGGTGTTGTTGGCTTAGTGGTGAATCAGATCCAGGTTGAAATGAGCGAAGCATGACCCACATTATCTACGTAGTCCGACATCGGGGCCATCATTGGTCGGTGATTTGTATGGATGTGACAGCCACCCACCGCTTTTAGAGTGGCCCTTATCCTAGACATTTCTGAAGCTAACTCGTTCCGCTTCGCCTAGAACCAAAAAATTAGTACAAATTGATATCAGAGGGATAGCTTCTTCTCCTTCAGCGTAATTTCTAGCATAGGATTGCTGTGCTGGTCTGTCCCCGGACAATACATGGAACTTCATGCTTGTCTCTTCAGTTTCTCGCATCCGGTTCGCACTTTTCTAGATTTATTTCACCGCATGAATCAATCCATACTCAGTGTGACGCACTTTTTACACTCCGGTTTGTATTCTGGAAGACATCCCGTTCTGTCAGCTGTTCAGGATCACTTATTTTGCAGCCGATATGCACCACTATGACCTTGCACCAGAGTGCGCTGTAGAGAACTATAAGGTCGATATGAGGTCCATAAGCAGTTCAAAAACACCAGCTGACGTGTCACTGTGGCACAGTATTTTACAGCGTACGTGTCAAACAGTCTCTCTATTGGTAACTTCATTCGAACCATGGGTTCGATTTGACAAACGCCTACTGGGTATTTTGATCTAATTAATCACCCGTGCTCGGTTTAGACTGTCAGTTTTGATTATCCTTCTATACGAGTTTTATGGCTTATAAGCCATTGTTTAACCCCTTCCGTCAAGATTAATATGGTCGCTGATCTGTTTACCGTGTCCATGCAACGATGGATACCAGATTTCATTTAGTCCCTAGTCTTATTTAAGCCATTTCCCACTTCCTTTTCCAATCAAGTCGGATTAAGCAGACTGATTGGCTCGGCACTTCGGTTTTTACTCACTATTCGAACCTAATCACATTTCCTGCATCGGATCTGTTTTGCTCTTCGTTGTAGCTAATTTTCAATCAGGCAAAAACAAACTCAGGAAAATGAGTTACCTAATCCAACCCTTTTACTTGGTCCAGTAGAAATTGAGCAATCCCCAAAATACACCTGTTACTAGCGGCTTGCCACAATTTACTAAACCGTTCAGTTATCCACATGGCATAACTTTGGTGCATTGAGCTGGTGAAGTTACGGTAATATGGTTGCCCATTTCGGCTCGCTTTTGGTTGCGTAATTCTGTTGATCCGGAAGCCGATGCCGCTGGTTCTCTTGTTGTAAGCGACGGAGCGACGGGTCTCTGGTTGATGGTCCCCTTCCTGCAGTTCTTTTGGCAGCGCCTTTGAGAGCGTCCCGTAAACGCACCTACATGCATTGCCTGCTCATCGTACCTGCTTACGCCCCAGCGGACTGTAGCTGTAATACATTCAAAGGCAGTTTTTACGACGCTATGAACCCCTTGCTGTGGTGGGCTAAGAACTCAAATAATATTGTGGCCGCCGGGGATATGAATGTGCAAGTAGGTAGACATAGCGCTGCTGAGGCTCAATTAGGTGGTTGTCTGGGGCTGGAATCGAGACGCCCGGATAACGGTGAACGCCTGCTGTTGTCATGTGCCCAACACCAGCTGTTTCTCTGCAGTACTAACTTCCGAAACAACAGAAGTCTCCTTGCCATCTGGCACTCCCGCACTCAAACTGACCTGCAACACAGATAGGCCATCCCTCAGACCCTGATGTGAAAAAAGTCTATCAGAACCACCTACTGAAGATGTCTTCTGATGCTGTCCTCAAGATGCTAGACGTTTCGCTTGCGGAGTAGTTCAACTTCCGAGTTCACTTCCGAGACCAATTCAACTGGCCACCTGCAGTCACTCAACCGAATTCCAGGCCGGCAACCCAGCCCCTGGACAATGAACTTGGAAATCTTGATGACCTCGAAAATGAGTGTATGCCTTTTGTCCCTCAAGCCTCACCGAGCTGCTGGTCCTGATGTAGGTGAAGCTGAAATTCTCAGTCGGTGGTTGCCCCTATCTGGGAGAAAAAGACCGTCTCAACTAACTCGGATGAGTCGATAATGGTGCCCATTTTCAGAACGAGTGCTCACAGTGAGTGCGACAACCACAGAGGAATGAGCTTGACTCCGTCATGACTAGACTCTTTGTATCCCTTATCGTACACTGTCTTACATATGCGCGTGAAGAGAGGATTCGATAACAACAGAAACATAGCGGTGGAATCTAAAGTTTGTCATACTGAGGCGGTACATCCCAGCCTTGTACATTCCAATCCCATCATCTCTCCAGTTCGAAAAACCGCGTCCACCTTAGTCTCCGTTATTCTCCCCAGCTCCCGTATCTATTAGCTGCGATGACTCATTAGTGCCCTTGATTGTCAAATGTTTCTTCCAAAACATTAGTCACGATTAGATCGCATCCGTTTCGGTGTTAAGACACTACTCGTGTCAGTTAGAAAGACTTCACTGCTTGGAGTAGAATGGAGACGACGTTTAGAAAAGTTATTCGTTAATCTGGTTGCTTCACATATCCTGTTGCGCTGGGAATTTTCCTTGTATCAGGGGTAATTTGAGCTCTTATGAGTAAACAGCCAACCCCATTACGCGTGGTAAGCTGTCCATCCTCTTCAGACATTAGCGTTGGGTGTGGTAGGGATGGTGGCAAACTGTGATGCACAGAGCAGACGTACATTGAAGCTAATTCAGGTGAGCAGACGCACTGTCCATCTTCTGTACCGACATACCGGTAGCTCAACTACGAGTTTCTATGATTAGGGATATATTAGTTATTAAGACGCAAACCTCTAATTCTCAGGTCCATGGCTAGAACCATTTGCCTTTCTGTCTGCCCAGACTTTAGTAGCCTGGCAGTAGGTCAGTACTCGTGCCTTTCTGTGCTTGGATAGCAGTTATGCACCAACGGCACTGAACTATTTGCTTGAATTTTGTTGACGCCCTATCTCATCTCAGTATATCGCTCGTTCGTGTGTTGCCATCACACAGTTGACCGTCGCTCGTTAGCTTCGTCCAACAATCATCTGCATACTCTGGAGCAAAGTAAACATGGTTGCTATCATAATCTACTCCAAATCTATTTCATAACTTACTCTACAATAAGTGTCCAACACTCCTCTTACGTTTTTCTCGCTATGTAAATGATAGGGTGATTTCATCATAATTCTGTGTAAACTTACTACGTTCTCGATACGGAGACCACCCCAAGTGACTCCTTTCATTGTGCGCCCATCTGGGTGACCGGTGAGGGTGTGCTTGGTGAGCGATTGCAGCGCATGTTGCGCTGCTCGTGAAACGAGTGCTTAGGTACTCAAACTGTCACGAAGAGACTGGACCTTACAGGGGTGTGGCGATTTGTGTACCTCGGAGACCCATTGAGCTATACTGGGGGGTGTCCGCGCGACATTCACAGAGTCTCACATACCAGGTTGGTCAATGGTTAGAGGTCTGACGAACACAGTTGGAACATGTGTGGCGACGTGTTCCATAAAAATGGTAATGTGCTTCCGTTTCCAGCCAAATACCGCTGCCTTGCGCTTAGGATTTTGAGCCAAAGGCTGTGGATGAGGACCATAATTGTCCTCCTGTCTAGGTGTGGGCGCTCTGGCACTATCCCAGCCCTCGTGCAACCATGACCTAAGTACGACGGTGAAGCATCAGGCCAACACTGATGTTGCTGTCTATGATGATGATGATGATGATGATGATGATGATGATGATGATGATGATGATGATGATGAGGTACTCAAAAAGGGACTGTCTCATCACTGCTCGTTTCGTGCAAGACAGTGTATTGATCTTACCTCAGGAAAGGTCCCTTCACTGGGAATCTGATGGTGTTTTTCACTACATACACGATAGGTGGGACCTTGCAGTTAGTGTCGGGTCTCAGTCTAGATATTCCAGGATTGGCCTCTTGGCCTTCAGGAATGCCTTGAGTATACCGAGGAAAACTTTAATCACGACCATTCATCCGTACAGCGGTTTCAGATGCGTCGCTCAATGTAGGACCCGATATTTCATGTATTATGCGACCGACGTATGCTGGATGACTTGGAGTAACGACCTCCCCGGAACGTAACATTTTACCTACCCTCCATGAACCCCAACTTCGTTTCGCGTGTAAATCAACTTCACCAGGCATTCTCTTTACATTAACACAATCGGTCAATTTTGTTCTGACTCCGACAACATGTGGTTTGACATGGCCCGCGCCCAACCAGGTAAGTTAACCGGAACACACTAGGCTTTTGGCATCAGTCCAACCTACCCTCTATCAGCTTATGTGATTAGATTACGGTATCATTCGTTCGTTCTCATGTGTTTTCCGACGACAACCTGTGTTGTTTTATGGACGTTACAAGCATGATTATATGTCTCACTCATTTTGTTCGAGTATGATATGAAGTAGGTTCCTGTCATTCATTTCAGAACGGTGATTTATACCGCGTTTGGATTCTGCCTGCGTCGTCCGTCTGCAGTACATCTGCGGAACTGGATAGATTTGCACACAATGAAAGATTATCATCTAATCGATCTCTGTCCCCCGTTGATCGTCCTTTCTTCATGTCAGTCCCTCCTGAACCGACGTTCCTATCCAAATCGCACGTTTCGGCCTTCTCTGCTCCCTCTAACAGTCCGAACGACGAAAATGGGGTTGATGGAGCAGGATTTCGTGACAGCCAAACCACCCAGACAAGTCTACCTTCCACATCGGCTTCTGAGAGTATGCACTCCAACGAAGCCGCCGAATTGGAAGGCTCCCATAGTTCTGAACACTCAGCCGTTCATCAGTTGTGTCTTCACTTGCTGGTTTACAGTTCGCTGGTCGAATTAGAGAAACACACAGTTAATCGTGTCACTTTTGAATGTTCGTACCATGTGATCGGCTGCTTTCCACGTACGAATTCGGTAGATACGAACATGGTGGATTTGCTTTCAAATGGTCTCATCCTTTCCTCGCAGTGAGTAATTTCTACATGATATTGCGTTATTCTTTGTCCCTATTCCGTTTGCACACCTGTTTGTTACCCACTCAAACCATGTGTCTGGGGTTACAGACAGACTAGCTTCCTAGTATCAGGGTTGTTTCGAGGGGGCGGTAGGGGCATTTCCTTAGCCCACGCGAGCGACAATGACCTAAGCTTTTCGAATTAATTTGCAGACTGGTTACCGAGATGAGTATCAGTGTTCACAGTTCATCAAGCTCATACACATTACGATATGTCACTCATTGAAGACATCTTCGTGTTTGTTGTTCATGTGGCCATGTGGATTCATGAGTTGTGGAAAATAGCATGAAGAATATCGTCATATCAGTAAATGCATCCAATGAGCTATGTTAGATAACCAGGTGTCGGACACCCCGGATTCTCGAGGTTGTGGGACTCTTTGTGCGAGGGTTGGTTTGAACCTATTAGTGAGAAATGCTGCTTTGCATCGAGGGACTGGCCTCTCTGAAAGGCCCATTATGGGGTATTGCTGTGTACTGATAAAGTTTTGTTGTACCTCCAACTGGGCGAATTATTTGGGTCCGTTCGTGATCAGGTTATCCGAGTGATTATTTTACACGCAGTTAGCACTCACAACGTTTACAGTAGACTAACAACAGATCGCGCTGATGTGATACTCGATTGAATCCCTGTATCCCTCGACACAGTCTACAGCACAAAGGCTGTCTTTGCTCAGAAGTTTAGAAAAATGTTGCTTTATTATTATTATTCGCGCACTTTTTGCTATTGAGGAGTGTACAGAGAACTCTCCAAAAGATCCCTTGATGACACTGCTGTCCAGCAAGCATTTTCACTCTCCGCTCTTGTTGCGGCCCTTTATTGATGAAAAAATGTGGCGGATCAAGAATAGCCCACACTGCAGCTATTGCGATTGTGACGAACAGCAAGCACAAGTTCTGACAGAATAGAGTTCCGTTATTTACTATTCACACCACCGTATGTTTCGGAGCCTGCTGTTGCTAATCATCTTACGTTTTTCAGCAAATGTATTGGCACGTTAGTTTCTCCCAGAGTTGGTTCATGTATCACTTTTCATAATTCATGGTATATAGCGAGCATGCCACTGAGTTTTCAAGCTACGCCAAGGCTACCACAATGTTATTGAGCTTAAGACAGCCTAGCAGATAATCCGCGAATCTACTGACCATGAGGTTCGTGGTTCAAACCCAACCCAAGCCTTCCGACATCTAGACTTAGTTGATGTGGTAATATCTCAGCCTCCGTACCTGCATCGGATTGCGTGATAGCTATCAATTTCAATCAATCCAACTTACCAGCTGTAAACCGTATGCCATAGACAGGTTGGTTCCAGCTGCTACAGTTGCGATCACCGGAAAACGGGAAAGTGGGATATACAGCCAGCCAAGTCGAAGGCATGTTCAGTTTGTTTGGAAACTGGGTAGCTAGGCGGCGATAGCTCTGATGCACGAGCGCCACTGCGCGATTGTACGCCCAACCCAAGCCTTCCGACATCTAGACTTAGTTGATGTGGTAATATCTCAGCCTCCGTACCTGCATCGGATTGCGTGATAGCTATCAATTTCAATCAATCCAACTTACCAGCTGTAAACCGTATGCCATAGACAGGTTGGTTCCAGCTGCTACAGTTGCGATCACCGGAAAACGGGAAGTGGGATATACAGCCAGCCAAGTCGAAGGCATGTTCAGTTTGTTTGGAAACTGGGTAGCTAGGCGGCGATAGCTCTGATGCACGAGCGCCACTGACTGCGCGATTGTACGAGATGGTCTGTTCATAAAGATGTCTCTGGAATCTTCAACTCTATCGGCATTTTAAAATCGTGAATTCTGTAGGCGGTGGTTGGGTTATCCGTAGCGCTCTAATTAGGAAAAAACGGATGCTTGATTGTGCACCAACTTTTTTTCATCTGCTTGTAACGTTCAGTGCTCGATGCTTCGAGTACTCGATTGATCGCTTGGTTCTTTTTTGGATACCCTAATCAACACCTACTGATGAAGATGTCGGGTCAAGGACAATCTTCGTTGATAGAAGAATCTCCATTCAGATGTGATGCTTGAGGCCCGGGTCGCATGGGCGCAAACGTTTCACTGTTCTGAGAACGAAAAAGGTAGCGACAAAACTTGTTGATAGAAGAATCTCCATTCAGATGTGATGCTTGAGGCCCGGGTCGCATGGGCGCAAACGTTTCACTGTTCTGAGAACGAAAAAGGTAGCGAACAAAACTTGTTTTCTGTGATTGTTCTTCTTGGCTAATACATCACGAATTTATATGGTACCAGAAATCACGCGGAAAAGGTTAAGATCGGTGGTACATACACTTTAGAGAAATAGGAATCAAAGGAAGGGGGGTTGAATGAGGGATGGGTCAATGGGTCACGGAATCAGGTAAGTGACGTCAATGTCGCACGGATACAGGGAGAAACCCATTAGCCTTTGTCTTCGTAGTCAATGAGATATTTTGTAGATCATATTTCACCTGCAAAGCAAAGTTTTTTTGTTCTATCTTGATTGCCTTCTCTTCAGGTCTTGGTAGAAGTTTTGAAAAAATATCCTCATAATCCAAATTATTTCAGGTGGAATTTACCATTCTTGAATTCTGAAAATCCAGTGAATCCGGACTTATTGAAGCATCTCCTTAGCCTGGCTTGCAAGGTCAGTGCTGACTCTGAATCGCCATGCGTACAGCCTATCATCAATCTGGATTGGACTGCGTTCGGACTGAGTGACAGCCTGCTCGAGATTCTTCGATCATTGCTCCTTCGATCGAATGTGACAGCTACAGCAACCCTCAGTCCGTGCACTGATCCTACTGTTCCCCGCCACCACACAATTTTAGGTGCGATTATGTCCTTGCCAGATCAAACTATCACCACAACCGCTGTGACGACATCAGCAAGGGAGGTTCCGATCCTGAGTAACGCTCGACCTACTGTTTTCTTTCCTGTCAACACCACCAACCCAGCTGCCACTAAACCAAAGCCAAACGCCATGAACTTTGTCGGTGTTGCACCGCGGTTCTTCTATTTGCACCAGGTACGTAATTTCTATGCAACCCGTCTAACTGAAGCTACAGGATCACAATATCTAGAGTAAAACAGATTTCCTTTGTAATAGTTACTTGCGTGGGAAATTTTCGGACAGTTGTCCGAATTATGATCAGTCTGTCCTGTGACGTTAGTGCTATTTCTGTCTTCGTTTACAAATAGTATGAAAGCGTAAACATATAGGTACCTTTATTACAAACTTTGGTTCATCACTCCTGTGCTCTATGGATTATTTTGTATGCACGACTTGGCGTTGAACTGGTGAGAGAAAGGGGCTCTTTTGCTTACCTTGAAACCAATTGCCCGTAATGCAACTGTTCCTTCATAGATATTTTCTGGCTAGCACTCCTCGTTGTACGTTGCCTCACCTAGATGCTTAGCACACTATTGATGGCTCGAGATGGATTTTTCAGCTGAAGATTTCCAAGACCTTACCGATGATTTGCCGTTTCGAGATTTGCCATCTTACAAACCGTTTTTCTCCGACTCAGATTTCTTCGGTCATCTTTCTCTGGCTTTGGGGCAATCTGTATTTGGGCCATGTGTCGGACCTAGAGCACAAACAGACTTTTGAAACCTCATGCTCAACTCGAGTGATCCAAATGCAGTCCACCACTGTTACAGCGTCACCCGCCAAAAGATCGTCTTCGTCTTCCGTTGACTATTAACTTCTGAAAAGTCTTCTGTCTCGAGCTTCTTGTTAAGCTGTGATTCCATCTACTGTCAAAGCCAGCTTCTTACCGACACACCACCCACACACACATTAGTAACTCCTACTTCAATGACAGTCACGCCTTCGCGACATCGGCTGCTAGCTTTAACGTTCAACTGTATCTGTTCCAACTCAGTCATTCATGTTTTGACTTCTACCAGTAACTGTGGTTTAGCACAAATAATAATTAGTTCGTAGGTTGGTAGAAGTGAACGTAACAAAGGTGCCGTTACAGCGGCCACTGACCAGACTGAACGGAATAGATCGCTGCAGAATGTTAGGTGTTACAGGGCTTGTAGTTACCTGGCGATTGTCCGATTAAATCGTTGTGTAGCCTTGTTGTTATTCTTTCACTTCTTGTGAAGGTAAAATGTAGTTGGCATCAGTTGTTACCAGTTGATGCAGATCGTAAGGGAAATGCGCCAGGACCGATGAAAAGCAATCACAATTTAGTATATCCACTACAGATAGACGTGTTCCCTAGAAAAACTGATTCAAATCTTCCGTACAACCCAATGACTTACGCTGTTCTCAAAGCTTTTGCTACATGTCCACGTGACTGATGAGGCGAGAGTTAACAGAGTGAATGTCCATTGGCGAAATACAACGAAATTTGGCGAAAGAAGCTCGTGGGAGTGATTTGTGGTAGTCGTGATGAAACAAATCCAACGTTTTGATAGATTCGAGATGGACTATACTTTGCCCTGGTCAGTGATCCCTAATATGGTTCGGAAACTCTTCTACTTCCGATTAAGTCAGCCCGCTTTTGAAATCACAGGACGTGAACACGACGGACAGTTGGCTAACTTTGATGGTTTTGGTTGCTTCTGGTGTGCACAACTGACACTGATGAATAAGCTTGATAATCCAAAGTGCCAGCAGCAGGTGTAATTATATCAGTAGTGTGTATCGTTGGAATCGATTGGAAGGCCTTATCCGTTAACTGCATGCAAAGACACAGGATGACGAAACCCCAAAAATACTATGCAGATACAGTACATCACCTAGCACTGTAAGTTAAACTATCTAAGGTTGGGTGGTTAGAGAAGTTCAGGTAAGCCGAGGTACCGTTTGTGTGGCTCTCAAAAACTGCAATAGGCTTTCGCTGGAAGGAACCATGACGCTAGTTGGATAGCGATGAGTCTTGGTGGAGTAAGCCGCATAGGCTAACGTATAAGTAGGGATGTCTATGGCACTTGTCAGTATCTTCAACAACGTAGAACGCCTCGATGATGAAGCCATGGGTATTTTCGAAAGCGATAACGCTCCATAAAGTGTAGTTTCCCTCTCCACAATTGCTTCTTTTGTTCCGCACTAGACGAATTCTCAAATGATCATCTCACGTTCTGGGTCTGACGCTTTTTGGAAGTGTTTGGACTAGTTGTGCTATATAATTTCTGGATCTGGTGTATTTCATGCTATCTTTTGTTAATAGAAGAAAGTTTTTGTTCATACGCACCACAGCCCAATCAAAAGTATACGCGTCCTAACTGCCGGTGACCACTGCTATTGGTGTAACGGTGATACTACTGATGGGTAGGCATGCAAGTAGTATGTTTTCTTGTAAATTCGCTTTGCGTCTCTTGAAAAGAGAGATCTGTTGCGGAATGTGTGGAGTCGCTTTGTAGCATTTGCTTGGATTTTAGGCAATGAATGATTCAGTCAGTGAATATCCAGGAAAGTTGAAGAAGACGCGTTCAAGAGAAGATGGATGTTCAGTTTTTGGTAAATAAGATGCAAATGAGAGTTTTGCTTCCCTGTCCAATAGTCTGTAACTGGTCAGTTGACATTTTCTAATAGATAACCTCGCAGCGAGGGCCTTCTTCCTTCCATTGGTATTTCCCCATTATGTCACGTCTGTGGAAATCCTACAGTGAAACCAGTAATGAACAGATTTGACGTACAGATTTAACGTACAGATTTGATTTCAGGACCATTGGATAGCTTTAGTATCATACCGTCCAATGTTTTATGACTGCTTCGTAGACTATCTTCGTGTCCAATTAAGAAGCGTCCGCCTATAATAAGGCGATAGAAGTGAAACGGCTGTAATTTCCGCTATGCTGTTCAAACCTTTTCGTTTTGATTGTTTCCCCCGTTTAGTTGAGTCAAATCCTCAAAGACGAAAGTATGGCGTCCCCAAAGACTTCAGCTGTATCCCGAATTCTCTTCATTCATTACCTAACTTCGGTATGGTCTTCTGTGGAACCGGATTTGCGAGACACTCTCGACAATCTACTCCTGGCATCTACTGCTCCATCAGATCTGACAAGTGACTCGCAGTTGATCGGTTCTGGGATCAAGGCCATTGTCTTGGTTGCCATACGCGAACCTGTGCCACTTGAAGAGGGTTCTAATGAAACCGTTGCTATAACTGCAGGATTCGAATGCATGAAACAAATTGCAGTGAAATATCAGTGTTCTGTGCGGATGGTCGTTGACACACCACAGATTCAGGGTGATGGCATCAAGCGTGTACAATCATCTTCATTGGCTGACCCACCTTGTACGTCGGATAAACCACAACTACTTTTCATTCCAATCTCTTCTTCTGATGGATTCCAACAAGGTAAGGAGTCATCATCCAGCCCATTCGTCTTATTCATGTTGCCAGTGATTACTTCAAGGCTATTCACTTTCAATGCTCTGTGGCATAGGCCGAAATAGCTGGCCACTCTATCCATTTCCATTAGGACAACTCTAATGAATTATGCGATTTGGTTCAAAACATGTGCATGCTTCCGCCTGTGCAGTTCGCACGATTAGCTCGCCTTGACTTTGAAACGCGCTTCAGTTGAACCCCTTCATAGCTCCCGGTACCGGCAATGTCTTTTGTAGGATAGATGACTGATGAGAACATTTCCTTCTCCGGAAAGATACGATTTCAGTTGTATCTGGCGGTATTCGATCGCCTAAGTGCTTTAATTCAACTTGGCGATTCAGCAGTTAATCACGAGGGACTAATTTTTGCACCACCTGACCTGGAATTACACGACGAGGTTAGTCACGACAGTGTTTTGTACTGTGCCAATAAAAGTCGTTTGGAACTCATCAAATATAACGTTATTGTGCAGTGCTCTATACTTCGTTCCAACCTTATTGTCTTTCAATCCCTATTGCATCTGCGCTATGTCCTGTCAAGTGGTGCTTTATGCGTATCCTAAGCTGAATTATCGATCAATTTTCATTTGTGTTTGCGGCATATTTTCCAACTTGGTAGTTTAATAAGTTTTAGTCCGTTCCGATACCTAGACAGCACCCCCTTTTTCGCTTCTGGGTTTCGTGCGTGTTTCCTTGATAGGGGGGGCTGCAGTGCGACGTAGACTTTTCCTCCGAAACTTCCTCGTTCAGAGGAAGCTTAAGGATAGTATATGAAAATGATCATTCCAAAGCGGTAGTCCTTTTAGAGATTTCACTGCATATTATTGACTGTCATGTGATATTTTTGGACTACCATAATTGGTAGCAGGTAGTATCAGGAGACTCTGAAATTCTACCAGAGGTTGCATCCTGCAAGGACAGTTAGTCTGTGCTGAAAACCGAGAAGAACCATACAGTTTTTTCATCCCAGTTAGAAATCATCAACAGTACGCATCTCACTAATCCTGTGAAAGTTTCGAACTCGTGACTTCAAAAAAGTGTTTTAGGACAATACCGTCACCTTGCGATCAGTATAGTCTTATTGACTGATCATGTTACGCTTTAGTCCCACATAAACGACGCTACTAACTTCGTAATCTGTTTCATTTTGTTCCGATTCACACGTATTTCGGTGGACAAGACTGTCCAAAATGATTTAATCCCGCAACATTGTTGTTCTTACTAACTCTTGCCGACTTTACATTTCGTTGGTTTGACTAAGGATTCATGCATGCTAGCCCTTCACTGTGGAGAACTTTGTACCAGAACTTGGAACTGAAATGTACTCAATCTAGCTCGTTTCAGTGATACACGGTTTTCTTTAAAACACTGACGCACACAACTAGAAGTAGAACCCTTTCGGACTCTCTCCATCCGAAATGAATGATGAAACACAGCTCTGATTTACCATGTGATGCGCACTGAATTACACGCTGTCTGACAGCTTGGCTCACTTTTGCCAAATCCAGCTCAAATTGCACAGTTTTCCGAAACACTTATTTGGCCCAGACGAGTCAGATTTGCTGTGACACTTGGTTGACCGTTGTTGACATTATCTGGTTTGACACTGGTTAATTTAAGTGTGAATTTAAGTGATCCACACGTGCTAGCCCAATGAATAACGTCATGTCTTTTTGCGAAAGCCTGCTTTCAGTTCATGAATCGCTTCCACATCTAAAGGAAATCAGTCGGTGTAGTTTTTCCGATGCTTCCCACTCTCATTCTCCTTCTCCGTAAATCATTTGGATCCACATGAGACTATCGCTAATGTTTAGCCACATGTATGACATTTTAAAGTCTTCCGTGATATTCCGTGTCCTAAAATCTCATATGCTGTTTATCGTTTATCTTTTTTTAAGTGATTTATCGTCTTGCCCTCGAGAGTGAATCCAGCTTGTCCTCCTCTGTTCTCGGATCCTCAACAAACTTTCGCCAGGCTACACGAGAATCGCTGTACTCCTCCGTACCAACCTTGATCGATAAGCCGTGCAATTACAACGTCAACACGAGTACCCCTCCTCATCCTCCCACAAATGTGTTTCCCCGTTCCGTGTATCAGCCGATTACAATCGCTTCACGTTCTGTAGCTGCGACCGCCAACTCGCCGAACAGTTTAAACCTGTGGTCGTATTCCAGCCCGACAATAGGCCAGTGCTCCCCCACTGGACAAAGGGTTCCCAAGTCGAATATGGTGGCGTTACCTTGGTTACCTCTAAGTCCGGCAGATGCACTACGCCTGTCCACTTGCAAACGTCCGGCCTACTTTACTGTAAGTAAAATCGGCACCTTAAACAAAACTGTCTTGGCAAGCCCTGGGGTCACCTAGCCAGGAGCATTCTTAATTAAACCCAGTTCTCAGTCTAGCTATCTAAGGAGGCCATATAGGGTTCTGAGGTACGAGCTGTGATGGCAGTACTAGTGGTAAATGGCGATATACACAGCAAAGCCAGCAGCGTGTTTAACCGGCTTTTAAGGTTTAAAGTCTCAGTAACCGAAAACATATGGGTCACCAGCCTGCTCGAAAGAAGGCGGTTCTTTTAACAACGGCATTTTGCGCCATTACCTATCGTAAAGTCCGGAACAGCTCTTAGCTGTTCTGTCCTATATAATGAAACAGATAAACGTATCCTCTTATTAGGATTCATTTGTGGAGTTCATGTGTAGGACGCTACTCTCTGAACCTCCTCGTAGTCGTAGTGACACTGACAGCCTCTTCTCAGTTTAGCCCTCGTGAATCTGTCAAACTTCTAATATACACTTTACATTCCTGAGTCATGATCACGAAAGCAACTTCTAGTTTGTGTTTTGTGCAAGTTGTGCAAACCACCTGCGTTATAATCCAAATTCTATGAGGCTGTGAGAGAACTGACGGTCTGTGAAATGACTGAATGATTATCATAGTCTGGGACAACAAATAGATTAACCAACTAGGAAATCATGACTGGTTGGTTAGCGTAATTGATTTTAGTTGACCGAGATTCACCAGCCGATAGCGTGACCAAGCAAACGAACTAAGGTCTGCAGATGCAACCCAAAGTAACATGGATTCTGCAGAAGGCGCTTTAACCCGAAAGCTGTTCGTAACTGGAATCATATTCAACGAAACTTGCACCCCGTCCTTCAGTGTTAGGAGAAAAACTGCGTAAATATCGGTACAAGGGCGAATTCGCCCCAACGATCGCTACCAGAAATGTGGAAACTATCAGTACACGCAGTTAACTAGTTGCCATAGATAGTTGGTCATACTGGTGAGTATCACTTCAAAGTTGATTGGTTTTCGGAAGCGCTGAAGACACCCGTTTCAAGGTGATTTTACCCTGTGATGCAATGGCAACTATCGAACCATCGACTCTGAATATTCTTTGTTGATTTGATACTTGTCATACCGTCGGTTAGTCGTGATCGCCTTTTCATTCACTCTGTTCACATCAGTTCAATAAGACAGTGCTAATTTTACACTGCTTTCTACCGGTGGTTAGGTAAATCAATGTGCAATTACGTCACCGAGCTTCGTTTCAGCACGTGGCAAAACACGCATTCTGTAGATGCGCGCGGTGCTTCACTTCCCAGTTCTTATAGTTTCTGTTATCGTTCCTTGGATATTGGTTTCAGCATCGTCTGCCAGTCCCTCGTCCTCCTAACCCATTGAGTCAGTCCCCGTCTAAGCAATCCCAGACACCGGCTTTGGTTCGGTCATTCAATGGCCCCACCAGTGGTCCATTGCCTGGGGGCACTGTGGAGGAATATTACGCCGAATTACCCAAGGTTCCTCAACGTGACGTAAGTTTTGGATTTTTGTTTTACTTAATACAGTCGAACTTTCAAATACATTCATCTTCGTAATGTCCTATTTAAAAAATTTCTCACTTTCTTTCTGCCTGTAACTGTCGTTGTTATCATACATCACAAGGTAATCCTTAGTCTCCAACACCGCATCATCCTTGCTTAGACTCATTGGTAAGCACAGATGCAGTTGTAGTGTGACGGTTCACACTTCACAAATTGGTCACAGAAACATGCGTCAAAATTCAACAGTACTTTTGATGCCAGAGTTTTACCTCCGAAAACCAAGGTCATACTCCCCTTAGAAGCGCACTTTGTTGCGGGGGCGCAAATCTAACGCAATAGTTACAAAAATCTTCGCCTCAGATACTATTCTTTTGAGTGAAAAATATGAGCGATTTGCCTGGAACAGTACTCCATAATGGGATTCAAAATGAATGCAGCTTTCTTGCATCATTTGGGTAGGGTTGCTTAACGTTTGCGAAACCTGTCTCGGACAATGCTTATCATTGGAAGAACAACCCGTTTATGAAAACTCTAAGGTGCAGTCATCTGGTCGAATGTTACTTCTGATGCTATCTGGTGTTTGACTTTAGTTTAAGCTCATCTGTTTCTAAAAACCTGGCTTCACTATCGTACTATGTGCTTGTTTTTCTTCTAGAAAATAGTGTCTACCTGGGCTTTACTGATGCCAGAACTGTCGAAAATAGGGGCGAGTAATTGATCTCTGTTCCTTACGCGTAATCCTTTAAAGCCTTTCTTTATGGAAGATAAACCGATTCTTGTTTATTTGAACCATAGGATTCATTGAGCTGGGGTCGAAGGTGGAAATAGAAGTACATTCGATCGCGTTGCGCGGGGATTCACAAGTCACCGGGGGAGCCGATCAATGATATTATGTTAGCATGATACTGTCTTTTGCTCCACTTTCAATGTACCAGGAGAGCGTTTCCGTAACGAAAACGGCGAAGTATAGGTATGTTGGACGGATATATGCGAAAAGGATTGGCGCTCATCAGCAAATAACACTGACTGAAGCAAACGCTTCCCCGACGTACCTCAAATGCTGCAGCCTACCACACTGTGTACAACCCGCAACGCTGAACTGTTAGGACCGCAGTAGCATATCCACCGTCTGTCTCCTTCAGCACTAAAATTTGGCACACATGCAGCACATCCAGTCCTACCAGGGCTAGCAGGCTACATTTTTCTTAAAATTACCTCTCTTGAAAGGCGCCACATCTGCACCCTCTTTGAAGCCCTACCTTGGGTAATAGTACTGTTTCGAAAGACTTGCTTACCACGCGTACAACCGAAAAACGAGATGTGAATTGGGTTAGCTGCGGAAATAAACAACAAACCTGGGATAACTTTGGCCTCTATCTAGTTGTTGAATTTGCGGATAAGTGCCCGTTCTCAGTTCTGATTCCCCAACTGTATGACTACTAATAGTTCGTTGAAGTGAATTACCATACATAATTTCTGAATGAGACAAGTTTACGCTTCCAATGGTCTGATTCAATAACTGATTGTCACCTTCAGCAGTTGAAAATGAACTTTAGTTTGAAATGTTCATTTCGTACCACAGTTTGCACAAACAAGGTCGGTGTTTTGTGAAATTTGGAATTTTAGGTGGATCTACAACTTCAAGTGGAAGAAAAATCTGCATCTCGAGTGCGTTAGTGTTTAATGGCCTATCTCAATTTGGCAGACATAAGCGATAAAGGTCAAGTTAAGCTCCAGTCATTGGTTTCAGTTAGCTGTCGAATTATCTAACTCCACTGTAGATTTGGAACGAAAACAGAATACTAGCCGAATGGAGCCCTTCGACCGTCATCCCAGTTTTTAAAAAGGGAGCAAGAACGTCATATGGAAGCCATCGTGGTATCAGCCTGGTATTCGTCGCATCTAAAGTGCTCTCTGGCATTATTTTGCCCAGGTTGATGGATTATCAAGAGAGGCAGATTCGTGAGAATCAAGCTGGGTTTCGCTCTGGTTGAGGATGCATCGACCATATCCTTACCAGAGACGAATTCTTGAACAGCGCCACTCTGTCAGATGTCCCACGTTGGTCGTTCTTATGGTTTTGAAAGTTTCTTTTGATCCTGTCGATCGTCAGCTACTTTGGTAGTGTCTGGTGATCAAAGCTGTCCCTTCCAAATTTCTTTCCCTTATGAGAGCACTGTATGCGAACTCCTGTGGACGCGAACGAGTATATGGGAAGCTCTCACCTGGGTTCACCACGTCTAGTGGTGTTAGACAAGCCTGTCCTCTTTCTCCTTCCCTCTTCAACTTTGTTATTGATATTCTGCTTGGAATTTCTCTGCTTGCTTCTGAAACCTTGGGAGTCGAAATGCTCCCTGGACGTTCGCTCAAAGACATTGAGTATACGGATGATATTGCTCACCTTGGTTCAGATCCCCAATTCAAACGATTTTAAATAACCTAAATACCTCTACCGCACGGTTTGGCATGCGCTTCACACCTGTAAAGTTTAAAGTGTTACTGCAAGACTGGGTGGGATCAAACGCACAGCTTATGCTTGCAGGGGACCAAATCGACGTGGTAGATAAATTTGTTTACCTGAGTAGCTGTGTAAGTTCCGGTGTACTGGCTGGATATGAGATTATTTCTCGAGTCGGAAAGGCCAGGGCAGCTTTTGCCAACCTCGGACACCTATGGCGCTGACGTGATCTGAGTTTGTCTGTCAAGGGAAGAGTTGACACTGTGGTGGTGGGATCCATTTTGCTCTATGGATCAGAGACATGGTTCCTACGCGCAGAGGACAAACGAAAAATGTCAGTGTTTGACCATCGGTGTCTCCGAAGCATCAGTCAGGTCTGCCGGGAACATCAGAACTCTCCCGCGATAGATGGATTACTCACGCTTCATAAGTTACACTGGTTGGGACGTGTACTCTGCATGCCAGAAGACCGTCTGCCTCGCATAGCTCTTCTCGCCCAGCCCTGTACTGAGTGGAAGCGACCGAGCGATGGACAGTGTGACCTGGTAGCGAAGTACAAAAACACTAACCAGTAAACTTAGTCGGGTGGGCAACTGTCGCCTCCCTGGATGGGGACTTCGGGACTCAAATAACCAGTGGTTACTGACATTGATAGAAATGGCCCAATCTCGCAGTCGGTGCCGCTCGTGCATCAAAGTTATCGCCTTCAACGCGTAACTCTCCAATTCCCGAACAAACTGAACATGTCTTTGACTCCAAGGCTTGATTGTACGTCCCATACTCCTGTTTTCCGGGGATCGAAGCTGTAACAGCTGGAACCCGTGTGCTTATTGCACTGAATTGTAGTTCACCCTGATGCTTTTTACGGACGAGTAGCCGGAATATGACGGGCTAGAGAAGTACCAATCTTCAACTCTCAGCTGAGCATATCTCCGATGACCAGATCGAGGTTTCTGTGATCCATCGATTGTACCAAATGCTTGACCGTTTTTTCTGAACATATTGATCCCTCATGAGGCGGAAGTAATCAGTCGGACGTAGCACCGTTTGAATGTGCGCTATTTACGGTAAAATTGCAATATCTTTTACTCTTGGCTTTTCGAATTGTTGCTTCATGCCACACTTGTTCAGTGATCGTTACCTCTTCCCAAAATTACTCATCCACGCGTTTGGTTGTATTCCTACAGTTCATTGATTACTACTGACCATTTTCGAACCTCATTTCCTGACTTTCGTACTTTTTGTGTTACCTATTCAAGGTTATGTTGCCTCGATCTATGATATTTGCGCTATCTAGCTCTAGGTCTCATCTGCGTCTCCGTATAATTTTACCTCCACTTGCTAGCCGACTTTTGCCGGTTCGTTTCCATCGAAAATGTCGCCTGGTGTCCACTGTCACCGTGCTATTGCCAGACAAAGAGCAAGGTCTGTTCTGAATAGCGGCATATACCAACTCCATTTCTAGGGCTTATCCAATAAATGTTCATCTTAATTCGATTTTGCAAAATCTACGAAACCGAGGAGCAAAAAGCCACGCATCTTTGTATATTTGGGTCAATGTTCCACAGGCTGTATTGTGAATTCGTGAAAGTAAAAAGGTTTTGGAAACATTCCGTTTTCAAGTTCCGCCTGGTCTCGAACGCTTTATAACCATCTAAATTTTTGGAAGAGCTCTGTCGGCATGTGGAAGGCCTAATATGGGTTGTCTGTCTACGAGCAATTTTTCTTCGCAGCTGATAATATTGCAAAATACAGTGCAGAAATATGTGGTGCACAAAAATAGCTTAGTGTTTTAGCCATTTTCATTACCTTGATCCCATTGGTTGGTTCTTTCGCACTATCCCATGGCAGGTGTCGTTTAATGTGGGTCAACAGAATCATAACCGTTCAGCAAACTGCCTTTCGGAACAGCTGAGCGAAAATGAGCTCTTGGTTTACCTCAGACACCCGATGTGATGTGAAACAGTCAGCGGTCAACTTTAATCACGTGAGGTGTGCTGGCCTAAATCATGAAAGGCCTGGATAAAATGACGAATTGCAAGTAGCGCAATAATGTTTACCAGTTACACGCATGCGACAGTTCAAAGTATCAAAGTTGGTCTGGCAGTGGAAACCTGCAGGATGTTTCTTTCTCTAGCGTTCATTCAGTCAAAAAGAGACGTGAAATAAAACGCCTGATGGCAATTCTGTTTTGCCAATCTCACGTGTCTGTTGTCTGGTCATACTCATGAGAATGTACTTCTCTTCTGTGCTTGACCCGCAATTAATGAGATGGGTTATATATCTGCCGTGGTTTTCCATTTCCCACGATCCGTTTAATGTGCAGTACATATTTCATGTCTAGTTTTTTTATTCCACTACTCTATTCCATAGTGACCAGGACGTCAGATTCGGTTTTGAGAGGTTTTTACTTCATCTTCTTGGGTATTTTTCCTTTTTCTTTTACCTTCTCGACCAGAAGCGATTTTGCTGTGGTCCGAGATGCCTGTTTTCATACCTGTAACACACCTCTTCGTAAGTCAAGCGCTCGTCACACCTGTATGTTGTCTTCACGTCGAATGGGTACTTGCATGCCTCAGTTTTTAGTGTTGTCATCATAAGGGACTATGTGATACTATCTATGCGGCTTACGCCTGGAATAGGATTAACATCACGCAAGATGTCTCAGTGGTCAGAGCATGTCCTTGGTTCGAACCCAGCCTCTGCATCTCGATTTCCCCTGTCTAGGTTTGGACAACCTGACAGTATCCCAGCCCTCGTGGTTCCTTTGGGTGGCATGGCAGATAGGCACCAAAAGGGTATTACAGCTAAATGATCTATCTACGTGACTAACGCTGCTTCATGATGGCGCCTAATCACAACGCCTGACGGGTTCCCCACTGCATCCATAAACGAACATACCACTGTCGAACAACATGCTTAACAAACATGTTACTCGATATTCGGTTGAGTCTTTATCCAAGGTCGATAAAGAGGTAAGAAATCAAATTCGCTCTCTGAGCTACCAGGTTTCTCTGCTTTCTCAAGCATCTTTATTTTCTAATGAGAATCTAATGGCAATTGAAATGTCTCCATCATTTATGTACGGGTGCAACAAAATACCTGGTTCCAGCTGACAAAGCATTGCATCTAGCTGACAGAATGGGATCGATGTCGAACGAAGATGTGAATGTTGTTTCCATTTTCCGATTGGAAAATTATAGCCAATAAAGAGGCAGGTGACTTCACCGTGAAAGTCGGCGGTCCACAGGTACTCATCTCCTGGTGCTGTCCTGGCTCCATTCATGTTCCGTTCCCATAGTAACCTATTGGGAATCGCCCAATATGCCTGTTTCTTGGAGCTATCGTTGCCTTTCCGTCGTCACTAGTGTTGTGGGTACCAAAGTGACGTTTGTCCTCTTTACAAACTATCTCATTCCTTATCTCTTCCTCTGTCCTGTTCTTTCTATCCGTTAAAGTACGTTGAAGTCTAAATCGGCTTTCTCATCTCATCTACTACAGCCATGTGCTTTCGAACACCGTCCACGTCGTCCAAATCGCCCGAAGCGCCCCTATCCTCGCACATCCTCAACAAACTCCGTCTCATCTGCATCGCCTCCGCCCACACCAACCTGCGTAGATTTGAACTGCTCTCCTTCTCCAATCTTCTCTGTTGCTTGCGCAACTGGTGGAAACCCCAAGGCCACTAGTCCAATCCCTCAATTGTGTGTGAGGAAACCGGAACTAGAGGAACCACTGTTATCTTCTGAACCTGGTGTCTATGCTGAAGTAGATGATGCTCTTATCCCCGACACATCCGTTTCATGTAGGTTCATCTGCTTCCCATGGGATATTATTCTTTCATGCAAAAATCAGAAAAGGGTTCTTATCAAAATCACTGATAACTAACTCCATTCTTAATTCTTTTATCAAAAAGTTTTTGCCGCACTCAGGAGTCGTACCGTAAGCTAGATTACTGTACATCATCATAGACAGCAAGATCAGTGTCGGTGCTAGCACTTCACCGCCATACGATCGAAAAGTTTGTTTAGATATAAGTAGAGAAGAGGCGACAGTAGATGACAGAGGAACCTGGCGCTAGTCTATCGCGAGCGTTTTGGGGTGCCTATACTCAAAAGCGCTCAAACAGACCATTTGAAAGAAACTGATAGCACGAAAACCACTGACATTTATTAACCGTCATTTATTGTATTGTATCTGATCAAGCACATGGGCGGGTCACAGGGACCTCATCCTGGAAGGCGTACCATATCAACAACACCCAAACTCTTCTCAATCTCTTTCACACCCTTCCACCAAATCATACGTCGTCCACTTCACAGTTTGCGCTATTTTGAAGGGGACACGAAGAATAACACGTGTCCGTTGTGTCCCACTCTTACTTGGACTAGTAACAAATTACAATGAGACGTTTAAGAACTGAATTAAGAAGAACTGGAAGAGTTTTGGCACTGTGAGCCGTTGATTTGTCTTGAAAACACTGGAGACTGTAAAGGATGCATATTAACTGATGCAGTTCAGTGTTTAAGCTCCCAGATATGGTCTTCAATAAGGATTAAGCTGGTGCAATCGTTACCTTGTCAGCACCTGGATGATCTCGAGGAAGATTCGGGCTATAAACCTTCCGGCTAGTAATTTAAGCAAAGCCTCGTGACCGTTAGCTTGCGCGTGATCTGCGCGTATGTGACCCGGTGTTGTTTAGCCCTTCGAGCAGTCTGAGATTTCCCAGCTTTGCTAGGATTCAACCCTTTTTCATGTGCTTTCGATTTTTATTGGGTTGACTGAATCTAAGTAATGTAGGAATTTCATAACTATTAGTCTCGTTGGGGCTCACGGATTTTAGCCTGTATGAAAATTGGAAATTTTGGGGCATTTGGGAACTACTTAATTCTTTTGGCTTTGAGCAAGTAGAACATGGTGGAATCTAAATCAAGTCCACTCAAATATTGCTCCATTTTTTGAAGGAATCAACTGCTGAAACCGAATCGCTAATGCTGATGCCCGGAATATCGAGCTTGGTTACATAAGGGCACTCGCCGTTTACTCAAATCATGGTGTCACGTTTCCGCGGAATCAAACCCTGACGGTGAGTAAAGGCAAACTGGGCGTGAAAGACGGCTCGCGGAATCACAAATGGAGCACCATTGCTAATATACAGCCGATAGAGTATTGCGTATGCCTTAGAGTTTATACACAGATTTACAACAAACCTTTTGAGGTACCGACCACATATCACCAATATTATCCTCGTGAAAATGAACCGAGTCCTTCATCCCCATATACTTATTATGAATCTTTGTTGCACAGACGCCCACTCTTATCTTCTTTTTCCACCAATTTAGGTACTTCCCCCGTTCATCTAACGAATTCGGCACCCAATTTTTTCTCAGACCCCAACTTTCCTCGACCTGCAAGTTATGCTCCTTCACCCCAGCCACCGGCACTACCATCACCTCCTGTTCCCATGACTGCCCAAATTATGCGGACTCGGCCCCTCCCTTCCATTACCAGCAGACAGAGGTTATGTTCTATGGACTGTTTAGACTGTGGGACTCGTAACCATTTATCTTTCCAGTCGCGTGCAACTCGACGCACAATGTTTCATGGTGCTTCAAACGGTTTCCAGCCCAATACTCCTTCTCAATCCTCGCAGTTTCCAGTATGTCAGTTCTCGTCATTTAACTGTCCAAACTGTTGCCGTGTGATAGTTCACAACGGTTTGGGCTTTGACTTTTTACTGACTTTTTTCGTGTAATTACCATTGTCTATTTCTTTTATCAGATTCAGTGAACTCTAAAAGACTAAACTTATTCTTTACGTTCGCCTTGTCGTAAGCGGTTGCTTTATGTTAGCCGAAAAGCAATGGGGCGAAACATGCATAAGAATTCGTTAAGACTCAAAAGCTAGTAGAACTCTCTGACGGTCCATTACAGTGTTCTCTGTCACTCACGACATCGTTTAATGTGAACATACGGTGGTTCCAATTGAGAGAACACTACGGGAGTATTTGGTTGCTCCTGTGAGTTTTCCCAACTCAATCTTGGTTGACAGCCCAAGCCGTTGTCGGATAACTTGCGTTGGTTTTATGTTACTGATATTTATTTGAGTAGGGCAATTTCTGAATATTTACTAGCGCACCAGCGTCCCATGATCTAGCGCTTAGTGAGACCAAGGTCGTAATTTGCTTCGAGAAATTCCTTTCAAGAAGGTTGTTTTATCCTTTCGATAGGAATATTTTTGAAAGTATTGATTAACTCAACTTGGTCTGTTGTATGACGATGACTGCTGACCAGGGTTCGATTAGCCACAGAATTTCTCTCTCGGAGAGAATCGCCATCGCAGCTGAGCACTCCCGTACTTTTAGGTAATGCCGAAAACCTGTCCGAGATTGCCACTGCTTATACATTATCCGTGGGCTGTACCCATTGCCGCCAGGGAACTTTCTTTGATCCCGGTATTGAATGTATTTTAGATTGGGAACGTTCTATTGCCATATAGAATGCAAGACAGGCTAATGAACTTTTGCCTGACATTTCGGTCCATCGATAGCTCAAATTGAATTCAGTCTACGCAGCTCTCCCTTCAGAGGATGAAGATAGCCAACTGAAGAGGGCCATTCAATAAAAACCAACTACTCGGATACCAGCCTGAAACCGCCTTAGCAAAAGAAAAACAAGTCGCTTTACCATATCCATCGAAGTCTCAGAAAGGCAGAATTCCTTCGCTGTGACTGGGCCTTGGCTGACAATGTCGTCAAATAATACAACTGGAGCGTCTATTTTCCTATAGGCTTCACTCTTCTAGGGCTTGCGTGGATATGCAATGCACCTTAGACACGTAAATGCGACGATTCATTCATTCGGAGAGGCTGCCTTGGAGATTTTGAAGGTTTTTGGCACACTCGTCGGAGTCGATCGAAACAAACCTAACCCTACTATTCAGCTACTATCCGAAGATCATAATATTTGTATTTTAGCCAATAAGGATACGTTAATCACGGAACGACATAAATGGATGGTATCTGCAATCATCTAACGGCCATAACTATTGGGGTACTGAGAAAATACTACCCATCGGCTTCTTTGACCAGTCGTTCTTCTGTTCTTTGTTAGACGTAATTTACACGGCTTTCGCATGCCGTTCCATTTTTCGTAAGTTATGGACTAAATTAGAAGACTCTTGCACAGTTCCATACGCGTTATCTTTCACAAATGACAATAACACAATTCTCCAGTAATTTGACATTCCTTTATATATATATATATATATATATATATATATATATAT